ACACACACATATATGTGAGCCTGGAGCACAAAAGCAGTTTTAAGTCGCTGGGGTATATTTGTAGCAATAAGCCAAGAATACATTGTATGGGTCAAAATTATTGATTTTCTTTTATGCCAAAAATCATTAGGACATTAAGTAAAGATCATGTTCCATGAAGATATTTTGTAAATTTCCTACTGTAAATATATCAAAACTTAATTTTTGATTAGTAATATGCATTGCTAAGAACTTCATTTGGACAACTTTAAAGGTGATTTTCTCAATATTTTGATTTTTTTGCACCCTCAGATTCCAGATTTTCAAATAGTTGTATCTCGGCCAAATATTGTCCTATCCTAACAAACCATACATCAATGGAAAGCTTATTTATTCAGCTTTCATGTGATTTATAACTGGTTTTGTGGTCTAGGGTCACACACATATACATATATATATATTTTTTCTTTCTTTTCTTTTTTTTATTATTTATATCCATTTTTATTTGGATTTTACCACCTAAAACAGTATTATCTTGAGACACATTATTGCTGCATGGGATTCTGAAATTAACACCTAAAACTATATTTATTATTATTATTATTTTATTTTTTTGCTGCTTCTGTTTTGTAGACGTTTCATATTTTCATACAACAGAACAAGACTTCATAAAACTATGAATTACATAACAGTAAAAAGTGGGCACTGCATGACTATTTAGGTCATAAAAGACCTATAATTTCAGCTCTAATCCTCTTAAAAGATGAAAATTACTGTACAGGTCATGCTGACACCAAAAGCTGATAAAAGTAAAAATATTTTATATACACTTTAAAAAAATCATAAATATATTATAAATATTCAATAAATTTAATTTTATTTTGTTTTTATATTTTAGAGTTTATATTTTTGTTTTGTTTAATAAAGGAACAATTATATAAAATTTAGGTCATACTCTAGGAGCTAATAAAATTGTAAAAAATTGTGTGTACATACATACAATTTTCTTTTTTGTTGGAGAAAAGTTTAAAAGGTCTTTCTTGGTTAAACCCTTCACACCCTGAACCTTCTTTAAGCACAAGCAAAAAGTCTCTCTATTGGAAAGTGCCTTCTCTTACCCATGACTGATATCTTGTACAAAGCTCTGAGTCTCTGTCCTGGCTTTTCTGCCGGCACAAAGTCTCCCAGTCCTATAGTGCAGAGGGAGATGAAACAAAAGTAGAAGGCGTCTAAGAAAGACCAGGTTTCTTCTATGGTGCTGAACACCAGTGCAGGCAACACAAAGAAGCCGAGCACCACCAGAAACAGCAGTACGATGAAGTGCACCACACTGGAGGCGCGTGGCTGCAGGCCTGCCCTCCGCTGGCACATGGAGATCGGCCCGTAGGTCAGAGGGTGCATGAGGCGCTGGACACAGGCTGTGAGCACTAGCATGGTGAAGGGCACTCCGATCAGAGCATACACGATGGAGAAAGCTTTACCCACATCAGAGAGCGGCGTAGTGTGGCCGTATCCTGGAAGAGAAGGAAAGAAAAATAAAGTATTTCCAACAGAAAAACAACGCTTTATGTATTTCCCCAATTGTAAGTCGCTTTGTAAATCGTACAGATTTGGAACCACATGAGGGTGAGTAAATGATGACAGAATCTATATTTTTGGCTGAAATATCCCTTCATCTTGCCAATTATACAATGCACATGATTTCCTGACAGCATAAAGCTTTTAGTGTAATCTAATACAGAGCAGGGGTCAGCTAAACAGGTTAACATGCTCAATGAAAGGAAAGCTTTATACAGACACACAGGTCAAAGGATTGATTTCCCATGATACTGTTTGCAGGACCTAAACTGAGAAGTCCAGTTAAAGCAAACAAAGCTTGCACTATGCCTAAACGTAGAAGACTGAAGTCATATGTGGGTTTGCCAAAAACAAGTTATCATCAAATAACCTTAACATCACTTTTAAGGATAATGTTTGTACACTAAGAACTGCGGTTTGACAGAGCTGTAATGCATAACTCATGCACAATACAATTTGAATGTTACCGCACACATTTGTGTTGCATGCAAATTTTCTTCTTTTTCCATGTATGACAAGGACAAACTCATTACTCAAGAAGAAACTTGTTATTTACAACCTTACAATATAATTAAGAGGTCTTTGCTTGGTGCAGATGACAACTACAATTAAAACGGATGTAAAAAAAATATGGTGGCTATTCTAATTAAATGCCTCACAAGTACACGAGAAGTATTTAAGATATGCACACTGCACTCGAAATACTACACAACACTAGGCTTAAAAGTTAGCTCCAATGTTCTTTTGTTATACTGAATTACTTCTCATTTGAAACCATACTCCATCTACTTCCCTTGCTATCCTTTACAGGTGACTTCTGTTATCCTGCACATTTTTAATCATAATTAAACGAACAAAGGGGTGAATTTGAAATATTTTCAATACCAACATGAGTCAAGAAGATTAAATATTTTATTTGTTTATCTGCATGTCATGCAACAACTGACATAAGAGAGCCTAGAACAATTAATTGAAATACTAACTTAAAATATTAACTTTTAAGTAAAATTTGAGGTCAAAGGAGTTCAGCTGACAAATAACGTTGAGAATCCATGAACTAAGTTTGCGTTCTGCGGTTTAAACATTTGTCAGAAATCATGTTTTTAATCAATTTTGGTTTAATGAAAGATCTAGTTTTTAGTATAGTCTTTTTAGATGAAAATATGTATCTGCCTTCACATTTTAGTTAGACGTCCAACACAAAGGGGAATCAAAACGTAGGAGTTCAGCTGACAAATAACGTTGAGAATCCATGAACTAAGTTTGCGTTCTGCGGTTTAAACATTTGTCAGAAATCATGTTTTTAATCAATTTTGGTTTAATGAAAGATCTAGTTTTTAGTATAGTCTTTTTAGATGGTATCTGGTATCTGCCTTCACATTTTAGTTAGACGTCCAACACAAAGGGGAATCAAAACGTTTGAAAAAAAAAAAAAAAAAAAACCCTGTTTGCCAGCTACATTTCCACCCTGTTGAACATCCTGTTGATCTTGCCATTGTGCAAATAAAGTAAAGTGAAATAAAGTGATAAAGTGCCTAGGCGAAGACTGCTACGTCAATTTATAAAAGAAAAAAAAAAGTATTTATTTAGTGAAGTAACAAAAATCAAAAGCACTGTAACAGAAATAAACGCTACTCCACTACGCTACTTTACTGTTACAGTAGCTACTAGTTTGTTCAGTTCTGGCGACCTTTGGAACGTTGTTTTGCAGCACTTGTCATGTTTGTGATGTTCTCTGAGATGAACGAACTGTAGTATTCTACACTCGCTTCAGATAAAACCGACTACTAAACGTAGGCTATAAACGTCCGACTTGAGAGCAACATCAAACAAACATCGCGCAACATCCGTTCAACTTCGTTCCTGTGAAACTCACCCACTGTCGTGACCATCGTGTTTGCAAAGAACAGCGAAGACGCCAAATCCCAGTTTGTACGGAGTGTGGCATTTTCAAGGACCGACACGCCGTATTTATTCGCTCTTAAAACTTCTTCCAAGAAAACTTCAAGAGCCGTGGCGTTGATGCAGCTCAGGTTGAGGAACTTAGCTTTCAGGGAGCTCAGGTCTGACTTCAGTGTTTCTTCGACGGGCCGCTCGATGGCAGAGAAAACCAGCGCTCCCAACAGCAAATAAGTGATGTACGCCAATATGAAGCCGATGAGCACAAAACAGGACCTGAACGCCGTGGACATGATGGGATTTGTGAGTAACAAGATAACAGCGATTCTTAATTCGCTTGACTGATGTGTGTTGGACTGATTGAACTCCACCCTTTCACAATCCTCCACCCTCTGACAAAAGTTGGCCAGGAAATAACCCCTGTACTCAGTCACATGGGTGATACTTTGAGTTGTGTGGGGTTGTATTGTGCAGAACAACCTTTTCGTTCCTCATACGAGTGCTTTCATTTACACTCAACTGAGAAATGCATTATATGCTATCAGGAGTCTTAAAGGGGTCATATGATGTTGCTAAAAAGAACATTATTTTGTGTATTTGGTGTAATGAAATGTTTATGCGGTTTAAGGTTAAAAAACACATTATTTTACACGTTGCATCGCGCCGCGTAAACATAAAACCATGTATGCATTTGTGATCGGAGAAATGACAAACAACAAGCACTGCTCTACACTGCTCAAAACTGACGTTTGAATCGTCAGTGGCAAATTCTTTAAATATAAAAAACGTACTTACAGTCTGTGAGTCAGAACAGCCGGCATTGTAGTCTACTCTCCCAGGATCAGGAAACAGTCCTCCATATTTGGGTTAAACTGTTCTGGAACAGTGTTGTAAATACAACTTAACCACTGATTTCTAGTCGTGTCCTCTTTTGGAAGACCAAACAAAGTAGTTTTGCTTTCACAACGAAACACAGCGTCTCCACGACATGGCTTTTATAAAGAATATCTCTTTGGATTTGAGACTTTAGTCTTTGCAACTTTACAGATCTTCTTTATGCACCAAGAGCTTGTAACACTCCAAAGAGAAAGGAAAAATTGAAATCGCATCATATGACCCCTTTAAAGGTGTACGCTGTCCTTAAAAATCTTTACCTCTACAGAAAATAATAGTTTTGGGATATATCATTAAATGATGTACGCTCACATGAGATGAAGACTCACTTCAGTTTTCTAGATAATGCTCTTTTGTTTACACAGAGTGGGTCGCCCCATTCGAGGGCTCCTCCATGTTGTAAAATCACCATCATCATCATCATCATAAAAGGTAATTGTGACTTGCAGTTTTGTTTACACAGAGTGGGTCGCCCTTGTGAGGGCTCCTCCATGTTGTGTGGAGGCCCGTTTCTGTGACAGAATAAAATCGCCATCATCAAAATAAAAGGTAATTGTGACTTTGTTTTTCGCAATTCAAAGAACAAAGTCATAATTGCAAGATGTTAACACAGAATTGCAAGATATAAATTCGCAATTCTGAGAAAAAAGTCAGTCTCAGAATTCAAACTCAAAGTTCTGACTTTTGCACTACAGAACAGAAATGAAAAGGTAGCTAATTGTGACTTTTTGGCCCGGTTTCACAGACAGGGCTTAGACTAAGCCAGGATTAGGCCATAGTTCTATTAGGACATTTAAGTAATTTTTATTAACATACCTTAGAAAAAAACATTACTGGTGTGCATCTTGAGACAAAACAAAGGCACTGATATGTTTTAAGATCAATCAGTGCAAGTTTCTTTCAGTTGAAACAGCTCAGATTTACATTTAATCTGGGACTAGGTTTAAGCCTTGTCTATGAAACGGGGGGTTTATCTCACAATTTTTTCAATTTTACAATTTATATCTCACAATTCAGACTTTTTTTTCCTCAGAATTGCGAGTTTATGTCACACAATTGTGAGTTTACATATCACAGTCCGGCAGCCTGTTCCATAAAACAAGTTTACCAAATAAGCCAGGTTTATTTCAGTTAGTATGATTTATTGTCAGTTGATTTGGTGCAAAATAAGTCAGACTAACTGAAATAAGCCTGGCTTATTTGGTAAACTTGTTTTATGGAATAGGCCCCAGAACTTGTGAGGAAAAAAAAAGTCTGAATTGTGAGATATAAATTAAGAATTGTGAGTGGAAAATGACACAATTACTTTTTTTATTCTATGGCATAAGCTTCTATAATGTTAACTGAACATAAACAAAAACCTTTATAAGTGTGCTTGCTTATGACGCTACTAGTATTGTGTTATTTTACTCAAAAATATGATGTATGCTTATAAAAGTAATCAATAGACTGATCAATAGGTTGATATTTCCAATACTGGATGTCTTATACAGACTGAGTCTTAGGTGTCCTCCATTGGGCAGTACCGGTGCTTTCCATTGGATTGTACCAGTGAACTTACTGTTAAGTGAACCAATGAACTTTGTGTGATTTCCACCATATGGCAGGTACAACTCAAATAAGTTTGATGTATGTCCCATGTGAACACTTCCAACCAATAGGAGACAGCGAAATAAAAGTTATATTTAAATATCTGACCAGATATTTGACCAGATATAAGATCTGGCCAGATTCCACAATTAAAAAATGAGCCAGGTAGACCATTAATTAATAGTGGACTCAGATGCGGGCACTGTCATCTTGGCTTTGTTGCTTTGTACAATGAAGTCTTATTTTGACACCTGCATCTCGAGCTTCATTGACTTCATAGAAAAGACCATTGCTTTCTCCACGACACTAGTTTTACGCCTAGATGTTTATTCATGTGCCGTACTGTATATACTCATGCAGTGGTTTGGGGTAAATTGCATCCTGTATATATTACAGTAATATTGGACAATTTTTGCACTGTGGCTGGAACAACCACTTTGTTCAGATCAATAAGTGAAAAAAAAAACCTTAAACTGCATGATGACCCAGCTTGTAAAAATAGTTGTACATCATGTCCCAAAATTACCTTAATTCCCGCTTTATAGTTTTCTGGTGAAATACAAAATAACACAACTCGTGATGGAGTCTGTTGTGAAGATTAAGTGAGGGAGAGAGTCACATGTCGCTGAGGGGATAGAAATAGCTGCAGTCTCTGTCAAAACAGTTTATTGCATTTCTCTTCATATTGTCCACTCTAAGTAAACAGCCCTCACTGCCATATACACTCATGATGAGGGTGTGTGAGGACAGTGTGAACAGCTGGAGACAGTGAACAGTTATCTTGGTAAACAAGCAGCCAAGTCACTCAGATCAGGCAAAGTTAACCAATGTCCTCAAGTGTTTTGCTGGCATAACTGGAACTAAAGCTTATGAAATGTGCTTTTATTATGCAATATAAAAAAAAATATCATGCAGATTTGTGCACATAGTTGAAATGTGCCTTAAGTTATTTTGTGTTGATAAATCATATGAGCTTTTCTCACATTTGCTCAGGTTTCTTATGACAGTGGTTCCCAACCCTGGTCCTGGAGGCACCCCAACACTGCACCAACTTTTGTACAATTTTTTGTACCATTTAATGTTTCATAAGACAGTGGTTCCCAACCCGGGTCCTGGAGGCACCCCAACACTGCACGTTTTGCATGTCTCCTTAATCAAACACACCTGATTCAGGTCATCAGCTCATTAGTAGAGACTCCAAGACCTGAAGTTGGTGTGTCAGAGTAAGGAGACATGCAAAACATGCAGTGTTGGGGTGCCTCCAGGACCCGGGTTGGGAACCACTGTCTTATGAAACGTTAAATGGTTGATCCCCCAGTTATCCACTTCATTCAGTCATTCAAAGATGTTTTAATTACATCAATCAACAAACAAGCTTACAGGTTCAATTTAAAATGTCGACATTCATTTTAAAACACTTCTGAAAATATGGTCTCTATTCGTCAGCAGTTAAAAATGGTACACTACAGTGTTATATTTAGTACTTCAAGCACAGGGAAAAAAGACATGGAAACAAGAAAATTGATTTCTGTGTGAGGTGGTGTATGAAAATACATTTTGTGGAAATTTGCTTTGACAGTTTCAGACAGGTGAAGGAGAGATTGCGCGGGGAGCTAGAGTTGATCCTAATCCCCCTAAAATCACATTATTATTTTTTTATTCAATTGTACAGTACGTCATGTGAGACAGTAGAAAGGAAAGTTTGGGACGTGGTTCAGGATGTGACAGGCCAGATATGAATCTACATGCCTGTGAGAATGTGCACTAACTGGTTTGCTATGACTCCAGAAAAATATTCTTATTCTAACAAATAAAATCCATAGCAATGATTGAAAGTAATACACAAATACATACTGACATATTTTCATCTGAATATATCAGTTATATCAAAATGGGTCCAATAACCAGACTCCAATAACTGGACCGAACAATTTGGCAAAGGGGTTTTTAACTTGACATTTTTTATATTTGTCCTAAAAAACATATATTTGGTTAAACATGGGTCTAGTGTGTCTTGATACACAGCTGAATGAGAAACAGAATCTACCAGACACTGAAAGAAGAAATACACTTTAAATAAACCTCGAATAGAAGTCGATCTATGGAAACTCAGTTTTTCAGCATGTATTTTTCCTCTGTCCTGTATTTCCTGTTTTCAAGGAAGCATAGGTCAAAGATGTTTCGGCAGATATAGAGACTAGGTCATAATATTTCTGTTGAAGTCATATGACAGTCTTCTCTTAGCATTTGCAGCTAATTGCTGGTTGGACGTTGGGAGATTTGGAGAAAACCTGGCACTGGTCTTCAGTCGAACTGTCGCACATTCCTGAGGTGGAAAGGATGATGGTTATTTAAAACATGCACTTAACTTGTGTTTCCAGTACCAAGCTCTATTTATGGTCAATGTAGAGTATAGAAATCCATTTGCTATTTCAAATAATATTACAAGTGTTTGATGTAGCAAACGCTCACCAGGAAGTTTTCATTATATATTATTGCAGTGGTTTTATATTTCATTACAGCAGACTCACAGAGCTGGGACGTTGCAAATGCAGTGACTGAAGGAGAAGTTTACAGGACAGAGACTCCGCCCTCTTATATTTCACACCAATCATCCGGTCTAGATCCTGGAGGCCATCAAGTAAGCTCTGCTCCCTTTGGGCCAAAGCAAAATGATTAGCTCGGAATTTTATAGCATGTAACGAGAAAAACAAATACCATTATTGTACGTGAAATTATGAAAGAAAGATTTGTTTGTACATTTTCAGTCATCTCAAGAGGATTAAATACAGAATTTCATGCAAAACATTCAGTTCTTTGTGCTTTGTGTGATGAGATGCAGTAGCATTTTCTATTACCACAAGGTGGCGATAGAAGACTAATATATATGTCAGGGGTTTTTAAACTGTTACTAGAGTCTTCCCAGCATTCCACATTTTGGATGTTTTCCTTATTAGCTGACAAGTGTTAAATAAGGCAGGCATCCAAAAATGCGCATTCATTTGGAGGCTCTAGGAATGGCCTGAAAACCCCTGAAGTATGTCTCTAAATAAAAATTTTCTCAAAATGCATAAACTTTGTGTGAAGTGACATGTGGCCAAGTATGGTGACCCATACTAGGAATTAGTGCTCTGCATTTATCCCATCCAAAGTGCACACACACAGCAGTGAACACACACACACCGTGAACACACACCCGGAGCAGTTGTCATAATTAGTGCAGCAAAACTACAGATAATACAACATACTTGTGCTCCCCTGTATTGCTGTTTTCAGCTGGTCCTTGCAGAAGCTGCTTTAGTGTAGGAATGTATTCAGGATCTTCACAGGGGGACTTTTCTGAGGGAAAGGCCTCTAGAAACACATTTGACTACACACAGACATACACATACAGTAAGGATCACTAATCATCAGAGCATCAACAGTGATGAATAGATGTTTTAGTTACTCATATGTAAAATTACAACATTTTAGAGTTTAAAGATATATTAGTATGATATTATAAAATTAGTCATTAATTAGTTTGTGGAGGATGAGTGGGTCATTACGTGATTGTATAAAATGGAATATTTCACCTTTTTCTGGCCGATTCTGTAGTATGATGAATGATTAACTCTATAATTGATTTTCTATTCATATCACAGGGTCTCTTTTATCTCACATACTTTAATAATTTACATTTATTAATTTGTTAAGTAGTTTAATAAGTGGAATAATGTACATTCATTAGGTCAAGATTAGGACAGATTAGGACACCAACATAACAGAGCATAAACCTTTACCACATTATGGAGAGGAGAGAGAGGAAGGTTTGGTTTTTCGGTAGAAGGCCACCAATGGCCACCAGGCACTATCTTCTGCTCCACAGTCTCCTGGCTGAAGGCAGTCCATGTGCTCTCTGACTGCTGGAATGACTGGACTGCAGTCCAATCAGATGCCCAGGATGCGGGTTCATTTGCATCAGCAGAACTTGTGTGTTCCTCTGAGAGGAGATAAAGGCTCATTTAAGTCTTTATAGTTTCATTTTCAAGGCTCTCATACAAAAACTCTTTACAAGACCAGAAGGCGCTATGTTACTGGAAAGATGTTCTGCTTTCTGCGGTGGAAAGGTTTCACACAATGTAGAACATGTGTAATAATTTACAAGTGGTGAAAGTGTTTAACCAAACTTCAGTTCTCTGCTTATGTAAAAAAAAATCTAATGTGGTATTTATAGACCATGGTGGAAAAGTACAACATAGGCTTATAAGAAAAATGTGCCTTTACCTATATTTTTGCAAAACTTAAAAAAACTTACCCATACATTCAATTCACTAGAGCAGTAAAACACCAATAATTTATATTCCTTTTCACACAAATTATGATAACTAGGCCAGATTATTGATTCATAAAGACTTTTTATTTTGTTAATGCGGCTCCATGTAATGACCTCAAAACACTTTTACTATAGTGCATGATTTGTAAACATATACATTTTCTTGTTTGCATCACATAAGCAGCTTCATATTAGGGCTGTGCAAATAATCGAATGCGATTTTCATGCGCATCTCGTCAGTAAAGCCGGTTCTGTGATTAGTAGTAAATCTCCAGCACGTGCTTTCAGATGGAGCGGCATTTACTACACAGAGCCG